AGAGACAGGGGGGAGGGGGCAAAGAGAAAGGTGAGAAAACGTGGTGGGGTGAAGACCCTCACAAGCCACCACTATGATGACGGAAAGCCGCAAACCGCAGCCGCAGTTAGACCAGAGCTCAACTCGGGAGCTGAACTTAACGGTTCTTCAGCGTATAGATCATGAGGTCGAGGAGATCCTCACTACTGCCGGCCACGTCACTCTGTACGAATTTGATGTGGAGGAGAAATCTTGGAGCCGAAAGGATGTCGAAGGCGCGCTCTTTGTCGTTAAGCGGCGCGCGCAGCCGCGTTTTCAGTTCATCGTGATGAACCGAAGAAGCACTGCCAACCTCGTTGAAGATTTGCTGGGCGATTTCGAATTCGAGGTACAGATTCCTTACCTGCTGTACAGAAACGCCCAACAAGAAGTCAATGGCATATGGTTTTTCAACCAGAAAGAATGCGAACAAGTGTCGAAACTGCTAGAGCGAATTCTTTATGCGTTTGCCAAGGCCCCGCCGCCGTCCCGACCTCGACCATTCGTTGTCCCGACTGGAGGTGGAGGGGCTGCTGCTGAAGCTCAAGGCCCAGACTCCGCTGTGCCAGGCCCGACCACCGGTCCCGCTCCCGTCCCCGCTGTGTCTTCTCCTGTCAGAGCGGCTGATCCCAACACAGATCCTGCCATAGAGAAATCCGACGGTAGTATAGTGTCTGCAGTCTTCAAGAAGCCGCCGCCGTTGGAGGCACGGGAGGAAGATTCCCTTCAGAAGCTCTTCAGGAATGTCTCCGTGCAATCGAAGCCGTCTGACTCATCTGCTGTCATGATGTCACTTCTTACACCAGCCGGGATGACGGGGACTTCCAGCAGCGATGCTCGCATCTCGTTGAGTTCCAGTATGCCTCCATTACCTCTCCCAACTCCTCTCTGCTCCTCTTCTATCGCCAGCACTACTTCCAGCATTCTCCCTCCTCCAAGACATGTCCTCCCCATTGAAGACAATCGGTTTCGCCTGCTGAAGCCGTCCTACTTTGTCTCTTCATCTCTGTCGTCGTCCAGCGCACATACTAATTCGATGGCCCTGTCGTGCTCCCGACTGCATGGACCCTTGCTGAACCCTGTTCCTGTTTCTGGCCCTGCTGGTCCCGTTGGTTCTATCCCTAATGTTATCCCCGCGCCCTTATCCCCGCCTCTTCCGCCGCCTTTGCTACCTCCACATATCGGCGGCGGCACTTTGCCCAATCCTAATCATCATCCCATCACCATCACCAAGGATCGGATTCGCACGGCGATGTATCGGTTGCTACACGATGATAGATTCATTGATATGATATATCGTGAGCTGGTGGATGGGCTTAATGCCACGTAGCTCGTTGACTGAGGAGTTTGTTGACGGGAATCTCGTGTCTAACGGTTTTAGGGCATATTGCTTGTGACAGCCGGAGCAGGAGGAGAAGGCGGCAGCGGCGGCGGCGGCGGCGGAGGAGGAGGAGGAGTAGGAGGAGGACAGACGGAGGAGGAGGAGGAGCTATTGCTCGACGCGCGTCATGTTGACGTTAACAGCAAATTAATGGTGATGAGCAGCGAGTCGCTGAGCTCAGCTTCTTTTCCATTCCCTTTGTCGGTGGCGGGAATGGAAGTGATGGACATTTGCGGCGGAGAGTGGATTGTGGGTTTTGGCGGGACTGGATGATGTAGAAGAAAAAGATAAATCCATGAGATGATCCAAAGGAACGGAGTTGACCTGGAAGAGGGAATTTGTCGTTGTGTGGACATAAAATTTACGTCGCACCAGCAGTCAAAGCGAGAGATTAATTAAGGTCTAGGAGGAATGATGATGATGATGATGATGTGCGAGGACCAGCAGCAGGAGGAGGAAGAGGAGGGCGCGGAAGACGAACTTGTACACAAATTCTTCCACATTCGTATCGGCTCCGGTGAAAGCATAATAAAGTGAAGCCGTCGGATTGATTTGATTTGCTTTGATTTGATAGTTTTTCATTGGATTGGGTCGTGGCGAAATTGAACAAAGGGGAGAAAGATACGACGCCCTCCCCCGTTCAAGAGAGTGAGTGGTCTTGAGAGCCGGTGTTGTTGGGGGGAGGACAAGCGCCCGCGATGGACGGCGACAGTCGACAGTGTATCTACGTGTCTCCGCGTTTGGGGTGGGTGGTCGGTGCCAAGCGCTCAAGGCTGCTATTTTGACGGGATTGGAACCTTCTTGCGGCTGAGGCCACTGGGGGGGTGGGAGGGATGGGGTTGTGGCGCCGGCGATCTGAATGCTGTTTGTGTACGCGGTACAGGGGCTAGCAGCAGCAGACCAAGCCTATTTTCTCTTGTGGGGGAACTTCCTTTCCTGAAGGTGTTCCGTTAACAAGCGCCTGTGTATGGGGCGTGCCGCAGCAGTTGGGACGAGAGGAGGAGATGGGTGGGCGGACCAAAGAGGAGGCCAGGAAGGAGGATAAGAGAAGGGGCAGCCTTCTCTTAGTCGTTTTATCTGTGTCGACTGACTGCTACCTATGTTTGCGAGAGTTTAAGGCCGTGGTCTACGGGCTCTGCGAATCTGACGATGCATACATATCGAGCAGGTTCTTCCTGCTTGGTACGGTTCCCCATGGCGGCGGAGTTGTGAGGAATGGGTATGCAAGATAGTTGTGTTTGGCGAGGTTCGAGTAATGTTGTGTGCGGCGGCTAGGACAGCGGTCGTGGCGGGGGAAGCGGGGAGAGGGGGGGGGGGNNGGGCAAGGGGAGGAGATGGGTGGGTGGGATTTTCTGACTTCTTCTGAGTGTATAGCGCTGCGTGCATGCCTGTTGCTAGGAGTTTGTCGAAATATGGGCTATTGCCGCTGTGCTCGATGCTTTGTTTGGGGGTCGGGAGGGTGCGGGGAAGGGAGGAGAGTGGCCACGGAGTGCAGGCTGGACTTCTCGCGGATTGGGTGTTCTTTAACAGGTCTGATGTGACGCGGGAAAGACCGATTGATATGAAGACCAGGTGTTTGCCTCTCTAGCTCCATATTTGAGTAGATGTATTCGAGTTTGTGAAGGCGCAACGCGACTTGCCTGTGGGAATCTTGTCAGGCCTCTTGGGTGCTGACTCTGGAGAGTGTAGTATCGGGGGACTTGCTTAACTCTCGAGTTAAAATGCGTCCTGGCTTACAGCGACTTCTTGAGGATATGCTTAGTGGTAGAAGGCTCAACACCCTGTGTCTCAGGGAGCAACTCACAGCAGGACTTGAAGATGTGAATTTGTCCAGAACTGCAGTCGGATGCATTCGGGCGAAAGTGCTGGTGCGAGTATGCCCTTATGTATTCCAAGTAGCGGGGACTATCTTCTTCGTGAGAACGCACGCATTCAAGTGGTGAGGCGCCAGCACTTTCAGGCTTTGACAGCCTTTGGTGAGGAGGATGTACTTGTGTGATAGGAGGTCTCCCTCCCAAGGCACAATGTGTGCCTTGTCTCGTGTTTGACATGTGACTCTATGGGATCGAGATACGCCGTTTGCTACCCACCCAGTTTTTTTAAGAGTCCGAATCCTATCTCTACTGCGAATCTTGGTCCCGAGCAGCTTCGTGAGGTCGCTGGTTCAAATCCTGTTGGCCACATTCACAGGTGTTGGGAGATCTCCCTCTTGGCTTTATCCATGTCCATGAGACTGTCCTCCCCGGCTTCACTGGGCCCGTTTAGTACCATTTGCGGTCCCGCTTGGTACCGTTTGCCGTTCCGTTTTGTACCGTCTTCCGGCTTGGAACCGCGTTTAATGCGGTGCTCTTACTCTGCTGGCCGTTCTCAAGATTTCTCATAGTAACATTTCCAGCTGGGTATTTATTTCTCTTGGCTCTTGCCCATTTGGATGGTCCACAGCGCGCTTGGGTTGGGTTATTACTTTAATTTGGTGGGGTTTGTGAGAGGCGAGTACCGAATGTGAAGTGAGGAGAAAGTGGAAAAGGAGAAAGAGGAAGGGGGGGGGGGGGGGGGGGGGGGGGGGGGGGGGGAGGGTTTTGGCGGCCGATGGTAATACTCCTTGACGCGTTCGTTCAAGATTGACCTTCCTGGGGCTTGCGGTTTGCCCGGTCCGTCTTTTTTTCTGCAAATTGAGGATCTCCATAGGGTAGGATGGGTGTTGAGGAACGTTCCCTTTTATAGAGCCGGATGTTTCTGGACGGAGGGGAGGGAAAGAGGGGAGGGTATTGGTGATCGTCTTATTGCTTTTGGTGTCTCTGTTTTTTTCCTTGGTATTCTCGCGTAGTAATTAGTCTGGGAGGTTTGGAAATTGGCTGTTAAAGATTTCTGAACGACGAGGGGGGAGGAGGGGTTGTGAGGCTGTACCGGGGGAGGCATGAAGAGGTTTTCGGCGTTTTGGTACTTATTCTGGTTAGGCGTGCACGTATGGTGATTGGCCTGTGAGATGTCACAATGGGCTTTGGAAAGATTTCTGAACGCTAAGCAGTCTAATTAGGCACTGAGAGGCAGATTTGGGAGAAGATCGGCAAGGCGAGGAAGGCTCCATCAGGGAGAGGAGAGCGTGGAGAGTTTCTCGCTCGTAATCTGTGGATGCGTATATCTTAGGGCGCGCTGGCAAGTAGGACTCCTCGACTAAATGTTTGCCGATATTGGGGAACAGATACATACACTACGTTTCAAGTCCCAAAGTGAGTATGCCCATAGTCCGTGGATATAATTGTCTCCAGCCGTTCAATATGCAACAACTAACGGGGCGATGTTGGGCTTGGTGTGAAGTATATTCGATGGCCAACGCTCGACGGGAGGAGGAGAAGAGGTGATGCGGGTCCTGGAATGTTTCCCCCCATATGGGAAACGCTAGTGTGTAGGCGACGAACGGGTAAGGATGTAGATGGAGATGTGACAATTCTCCCCCCCGGATGCGGGTGTGGTGATTGCCATGGGGATTCTACGAGTTAGGAAATGATCGTGGGTCGGGTTGGGCAGGTTTGGGAAAATAGAGTACGTTCTGTGGGGAGAAGAGGTGATGGGAGTGGAGATGATCGTTGTGAGATGAGGAGGTTTCCTCCTTGAATATCCGTTGTATTTCGTGGATATCGCAGAAGTTAACTGGCGGACGAGTTGGTCGTAAGTTGGGTTGGACAGCAGGGGTGCCAAGCGCAGGGGGATTCGAGTCGAATGTCCCGTCCCTTTGTGCTCGCTTACCGGTTCGTATTTGGTTACCTGAAGCTGATGGAGAAGCACCCACTGCTGGATCTATTATCTCAGATGCACCCACTGCGGGATCTATTACAGTATCTTAGTCGGAACTCTCTTAAAGTTGGGACCTGCCGAATTGGGACCTTGAAAGCAAGGACGGTGGGAAGTGGCTTGCTTGTAAGGCGGATCCCGTTGTCGGTTGCCTGAGATGATGGGTGCGACGTTACTTTTGGTGTCCAGTGACGAACCTGGTCCCTATTGGTGTAGTTGTTTCCTCCCTGCGGAGGGGGGAAGGGGAGGGGGGAAGGGGAGGGGGGAAGGGGAGGAAGAGGAGATCGGAGAAGGGGGAGTGGTTTAAGGACGGGGTGGAGCGTGTAGATTCGCTGCGGGTGTTCTAATACTTGTATGTCTACATACGTCGTTATCAGGATGTCTACAATGACGAACCTGGTCCCTAATATGTCTACATACGTCGTTATCAGGATGTTGGTGGATGAGGAACACAGGCGGGAGTAGGGAGGGGATGCATACCTTGGTTCTGGACAGGATGGGGGAACGCAGCAGAAGGGAGGAGGCCGGGGTGGAGGGCGGAGGGGGGAGGGGGGGGGGGGGGGGGGGGGGTTGTGTGTGCCCCGGGGGGGAGAGTGGGGGCACTCGAAAATAAGAAAGCAACGATAGGAAGACTGGTCTTCGTTGGTCGGACCTGTTCGAATTGGATGAACTCGTCCTTCCAGGATGGGTGAAGATGGCGGTCGAGGATGCCAGATAGGTAGACAGACCACATATCTGTAGTCTCGTTCCAATCGAGATGAAGTTGGGAAAGGGAACACTAGCTGCTGTGCAATTGGGCGGGGGGCGGGGGAACGCGGGGAGAGGGGGGCCGAGATGTTAAAGAAAAGAACCACATAAGATTAGGTAATTTCGCTAAGATCATGACTGAAGCAAGCTATAGCGTTTTTTTTTCTTTTTCGTTTTTTTGTCCTTACATTTCTCCGTCTTGTTTTATTCTTGCGAAAAGGAATAGGGAATACGATTCCCTCGTTTAAACGTTTGATCGGTAGTATGATAGATGGATAGAGGGATGGACGGTTGGATGAGCTGTCTGTCTGCAATTAGCATGTACGATGCTCTGGATATGGCGGAAGGTTGCTACGTGGCCTTGGTCCGGTTATTGTGGAGGAGAATACAAAAGGACAGTGTAGCAGCCTCCTTTCAAGCCTTCTGCAGGGCAGGGCTGGGCTTAACAGTTGGTTGGTTAATCATCTGGTGACTTCGAATCTGACTGTAGGTATTAACTTTTGCCAAGTTTCCTTTCATTTGTTACGTTCCGGTCTGGTAGGTAGTTGCCCACCCAATTTGACGTGAGAAAGGACATGAAGCTAGGGAAGTGGGTCAAGGTTGGTGGAAGCGGAGTGATGGATAAGTCAATGGATTACAAGATTCACTGCGCGAATAGGAACTTATTTTCAGGCTTTAGGCCGCATCAATAGATCAAATGACCACTCGGGGCCGTCTTTTTGCGCCCCAGCCAGGCTGAAATAAAAGCGGGACCGCTCTCTGTGGGTCCTCTGCTTGTTTAGATTCTGTGTCTGTCCGTCTGTCTGTCTGTCTCTCTCCCTCCCCCTCTCCTCTTTGTCTCTGTTATCTTTTTTTACTTTCTCTCCCCCCCCCCCNGGTCTGGCCTCCCCCTCTCGGTTCCTCCATTTGTTGACCGGTGGTTCCCCGAGGATCTGCTGCTTGCTTTTGATGGGTCCACATGAAAATATTTCTCTCTCTCTCTCTCTCTCTCTCTCTCTCTCTCTCTCTCTCTCTCTCTCTCAGCCTGGCGACTTCCTCTGGGAATCACAGTTGATCGCTGCGTAAGTCGTCCGTCCAACTTCCTCCTCCCTCAGTCTCTCTCTCTGTCTTTCTCTCTCTTGCTTGATCACTTGCTCTTTCTCCTCTCCTGCCTACCCCACCTCTTACCCGATCACTCCAGCTTCCACAAGACGATACAGGGTGGTCCCCGAGAAAGACAAGAAGGTTGTCGCGATTGATACAGCATTTCAGTAGCAGAAGTGCTTCGGGGGTGGTGTCTTGACTCGAGTGCAAAGAGACGTCAACCAAGAGAAACGATGGACTGGCAGGACGGATGCAGTGATCTGGTTTTGACACAGGTTCCCTACAAATTACTGAAGTCACAGTACGTTCTTGAGCATGGCTGTGTGAGTGAGTGAGATTGGCACTGAGCTGAAACTTCCAGTTTCGGATGTCATGTGGGACATCTGGAAAGTGCAACCTCTCATGGGACCTGTTCTCGGGAAGAGATGTATGTCAGGTACCTTTGAACTACTGGTAGTTGTGTATGCCTCAATTATGTGAGCTGGTTAATGAGAACAAGCTCTTCTTGGTCTGCAATGAGAACCAGATCTTCTTGAATAAGCTCGTCCTATGAACCAGCTCTGCTCCAATTGCTGCTCCAGGTACACAGGTTCGAACCGAGGCATGGGACATCACTGCTTGATCGTTGCAAGGCCTACTAAGCTAGCAAGTCCTGCTGAACTACACATGATCTGTCGATGATCTGATTGCGACACACACTACTGCTGTATAGAGTCAGGATGTAGCTGTGTGAAGCAGCTTATGTCCTCTTCGTGTCTTGGAGTAACTTTGAGAAATCTTTCAGCTAGATGTCTGATTGGATCATGGGTTATATCCAGGGGGTTTATGCAGCCTTGACCTCCTCTGGTCCTCGTACCCTGGGTTCTGTTCTTAGGACCTCTTCACAGAGGTACATGATCACAATGATCGCATGTTGTCGAGTGTCGGTGGAGAACGAATCCTGAGTCTTTCCTTACCCTTTCAGCAGCTTTTGTTCGGAATGGGGGTGGTTGTGAGGTTCTGTCATGATGAACCAGGTGCCAGTGGTCGACTCGGAGAGGCTATTAATTGACCAGCCACACCAGAAGATAACTTCAACTTGTCCTATGATGATATCAAAGAGGATGTCAAACCACTTGGGGAGTTGCTCAATCATTTGTAGGTGAATAGTTGGCGCTTGTACATGCAGACGTGTCACTGTGCAGCATATTTGGCACGCCTTTTGGTCCAACTGAGTGTATAGGGCTTGGACACCTGGTGCTGGGTGAGGGAAGGTTGTATATATAGCAGCAGCTCTGTTCACCTTCTTCCAAATGTGTGTACAGGAAACATTCATGAATCGTCGCGCAATTGGTTGCTGTTAAGAACATGCTACCATCACCAAGAACGCAGTGGGTTCGTTTTTGGTACGGTTGCTGGAGGTGCAAGGTCTAGCTATAGCTGGTCAAGGCACAGTCATGAGTATGTGTGCGATCGGTTGTGGTTAAGTTTCACTCCTATCATTGAGAGCGCAATGGGCCCAGTTTTCGTTACGGTTGCTTGTGGTGCCCAGTTCTGGTATGGTTGCTTGTGGTGCGACGGCTAGCCACTCGAGGGCAGGATTTAGGTATCCCTTGCCAATCTGGAACGTAATCGGTGCAAGACCAGCTGTCGTTAAGGTGCCCTCCCATCACCGAGCATGCAATGGGTCCAGCTTTTGGTATGGTCGCTTCTGATGCGAAAGCTAGCCGCTGATGACTAAGATTTAGGTGTCCCATCCTGATGAGGAAAGTAATTGGTCTGAACCAATATGGCTGGTTGTCAGACACGTCCGTGCAAAGCTTAACCATGCCCACAGCACATCATGTGATTCATATATCTACCGGCAAAGCACATATGAACACGCGACAACCTGTCACTGTGACTCAGGAGCAAAATCCACCCGAACAGCGGCGGTGGTCTGGGTGGTTTCGTTGAGACTGTTGGGGAAACTTATGAATACTGTCCGCCTGCTCAGCTCGTTCCTGGCGGAAGGCCATACACTTGACATGTGTTGGGAAAGGGATTGCAAAGACAACTTTTCTTTTTGTGCCAGGTGTGGCATATGTTCCAGGTCAACTGAGGACTTGCATGTCCCAGAAGCTGAGAAGGCTTGGGGGGGTATGTACCCTCGAAACAGGCTTGCATGAGGGGCACTGACTCGGCCACTTTGCATTTTCAGTGGCCACTTTGCATTTTCAGCAGACTATCTTGTCTGCCATATGTGCCTGATTGTCTCAGGACTCGTCATGTGTATTGCGTGTTAAGCTTCTATTGGGTACTGTCCAGGAAGTGGAGATTTTGGGGAGCTGAGAATGGTGAACTTCTGCCTGACAGGTGTTGCTAGACTAGGCATAAGATTTGCCACCTGCTGAGGGTCAAGCTGATGTGTCTCGTCTTGTGGATGTTCATGATTCTCTCATGGCGTCCAGAGTGTCGCAGATGCCGTTGTATTTTATTCCGTAGGTTTCAAAAACCGGAAGCTTAGCTGATGGCAGTTGCTGGCCGAGGGATGTAGAGCTTGACACCCATGTGCGCGGTTGTTAACGATTGTTCTCTTTTGTGTAGCAACGGGGTACGTGTTGAGCGTCTTCAGTCTTCACCTGGGTGCATTCCAGGAACTGGAGGGCAGGTGAATTAGAGATAATACGATGCTCTGCTGGTCGTCGTTTGTGGCGGTGAACGGATGCATAGAGGACAAGTGATAGTGAGTCCACTGAGAACACCGTTTTCTGGAGCAGAATGTAGATCCGTCCCAGCAGGCGATGGATAGCATGTGTTGGTCAATCGTCTCTGACTCTTTGCTGGTAGCTATGTGCCCAAAGTTCCTGCAATGGCAAAGACAGGCGTCTTGCAATCAGTGCAGGCAGAGCTTGCAGGATTTGAGACGAGCTTTTCACGGAATTGTCCACTGCCTTCGGCTAAATTTTGGGAGGCGTTAATTGCGTAGAAACATGTATCCGAGGAGAAATCACTGCACCCTTCTTGTTTGTTTGTGTGTGTGTGTGTGTGCGTGTGCGTGCATGCATGCGAGGGACAGACCTTACCACCGAGCTTTAGCTGTGGCGCACTAGACAAGCATGGAGTCGGTCTGTATTACAGCCGCATTGGTGGTGACTCACCACGAGCTAGTTGTGGCGGACCAGACAAGCATGGAGCTGGTTTTTGTTATGACCGCATGTTAGACTTACCACCAAGCTATAGCTGTGGCAGACTAGACAAGCATGGAGCTGTTCTGTGTTACGGCTGCATTGGTTCTGGTCTAGCAACAGTCATGCGAAGTGGCACTTGACCCATGGTTGGAACAACAGGGCGAACGAGGCTAGTGAGGCCAAGGGTAGGTACACTCAGGACCAGCTGGGGCCAGCATTTTTGGGAGCAGCCGATTCGGACGGAGCCTACGACCGGACTTGAACCGGAGGTGTGGGGTCCAGTTTTTTCCTTCTTTTCTGTTCGTCTTGTCGCTTCGACTGGGCCCCGCCATACTCATTGGTCTATGTGTATGTGTAGGCTTAGCAATTGCCGTTGGCCATTATCCGACTTTACAACTAAGTGGATAGACCCGGACAGTCCAATATCGATAACCTAGCGCGGATTCATACTTACTCCAATTGTGCCTAGACTTGGGCCCAAATGTGGCAGTAAGTCAAGGTGGCCCTCATTAATAAGTGATTTCTATAGTTGACCTGAGGCATCATTTGGTCTTTATCAATCTCATGTGTTGGGCAAGAAACAGAACAGAGCATGCTATAGAGCCTATAGACTGAGGGGCAGAATAAGGTGTGTGGCACTGCACATGATATGACAACAATGAGAGCCGGCAGTACTCGAGTTGTGCATTTTGGATCACACAATACTATGTGTGTGGCAGTGAAGGGATAAGGTCCCGAATACTGAAAGCACACAAGGGTAGGGTGTGCATGTGTGTGTCTGCAGAGAGAGAGAGAGAGAGAGAGAGAGAGAGAGAGAGAGAGAGAGAGAGAGAGAGAGAGACGTGTGCCCTTCTCATTATGTTGCAAGGCAAGGGAGGAGGAGAAGAGGAAAAGAGTTTTGTGTGTGTGCTCTCTCTTTCTCTCTCTTGCTATCGTTCTGTCTTCCTCATGGTTGTGCATATGTGTCTGGAGGGAGCTGGACTCTGTGGATGAAGGTACAAATCTGCTGTTCATGTGGACAAGAAGGGATAAGGAAGGAGGAGGGGAGTTGCTTTCAGAAGCGTGTATGCCCCCTTGGTTCAGACTTGCTTGTTCTTGTGAGGGCAGCTGCTTCTAAAGCTTCTTGCCTCTTTGTTTTCGATTACATATTGTCATGAAGGCAGCTGCTTTCAAAAGTCTTTCCGGTTCTCGATTGTTCCATGTATGCCATTTTGTGTATTGGTGGGAAGTATGTGGCTACCGTCTTTAACCGAATATAACACCTTGTATGGACCGAAAGTTGCCCCAAATACAGCTATAACGAATGGGTGTTCTATTTGGGTGAAGACGATAGTACATGGTCTGTTGTTTGTCTTCTTTTCTTCCTTTCCATCTTTCGTCTCTGTGTCAATAAGACCTTCGCGGATATGGAGTTGTTGTGGTTGCTACTACGTGCTACAGTCCTCCCCCGAACACAACGTATACATTCATTATAGCTGAATTTAGACCGAAAGATACACCAAATTCAGCTATAATGACCGTACGTTGTATTCGGGGGAAGACTGTAGCAATATTGAGGGTTTTCAACTCTGCATCACCGCAGTCAACGTTTCTCTGGGCTTGGGTCTGCAAAACACAGAACAGCGGAAGTTTTAGAAATGGAAGTCATCGTTGCGACTGTGTATTTATTCAACAAAAGAGTGCAATCGTAAAACAAATGAACTGCTGAAGTTTCAGAGTGCCAGACCTCTGACGTCCCAGTATACTCTTTTACATGTACGCCCTGCGGGAGTGCTTGTGAATCCAATCACGCCTACGAAAATGCTTGCCATAAGTGAAGCATCAGTATGGTTAATCCGCCTACTCCCTGGCCCCCTCTCATAGCTGTGCATTCTCTGGATGCTATTGCAACAGTGCATTGACTGCTTGATGCTTTTATCATCAGGATGACCATCACTATGGAAGTACACTCTCTCTCTCTCTCTCTCTCTCTCTCTCTCTCTCTCTTCCCCTCCCCCCCGCCCCCTTGCTCTATCCTCCCTTCCTACCCCCTCCTCAATTGCTGCTCTTGAAGAGTCTAATGGTGCTAGTAGGATTGCATAGCTCAAGTTTCAGGTCCTTCAGTCCTCAACGTTATTTTCCTTTCTGTATTGCTGTGCTACCAGATCGGATGTCCGGGACCCCCCTGACCATCCGGCATGTCCGACCGGACAACCTGCCCAACCGTCCGCCAGGGGGTCCCTGTCCGACACAGCATGGAAAAAGGGGGGTGTGTAGGTTTTGACGTTGGGGGGGCACGAGGGTGGTGAGTGGGCTGTTGCACCCCCGGGAGAGGAAGGGGCCTTTTTTTGGGTGGCCAGCACGGCCTCGGAATCGAAAAATGAAAAGGCTCAATCTGGGCCGTCAGATCTGTGAGATCCACGGCACAGATCAGGCCATTTGAATTGCGGAAGTCTGATAACGAACTGACTCACACCAACTGACTTGCATGGCATCACTCCACACACATACAATCATGAGATGGTGGGGTCTGGGTCATTCATAGACGATACCCAGATCCCGTACACACATACGCAGATGAAAGGTGGGAGGAGAGACGAAGGAGGTGGGAGGTAGATCACACCGATAGGTCACAAAGATAGAGTCTGATAGGTCTCCGAAATGGTAGTCCAGAATGTCATATAACAAGATCAAAATGTCGAGGACCAAAGGTCACCAATGTCCGAGATAACAGAGTCCAGATGTAACCGGTGTCCAACTGTGATGCAGCCGAGTATCAACCTCAACAATCTCCAAGTCTCCAATCAGGTAAGTACCACAGTCTCGTATCACCGAAGTCCAACTCTGATCTCTGTCCAACTGGATAGTCTCCAATCTGAAGAAGAAGAAGAAGAAGAAGAAGATAGTCTCCAATCTGAAGAAGAAGAAGAAGAAGGAGGAAGAGGAGAGAGAGAGAGAGGGGA